CTGGGTGTGCCCTGCCATATGTCCTGTGCTTCTTGCTATAGTTAGATTGATATGTATGTAAGGCATTGAGATATTTTAAATCAATGCAAATTTACAGACCTGGAGAATCTCAGCTGAGCAAAAAATTGAGTCAGGGTCTGTTCTGCAGCCAGAAGCATTTCACTGACCTAAAAGGGACTTCAATGCTCCAAAACCAGGAACTTCTGGTCAACTGGTGACTCTCAACTGGCCGTGTGCACCAACGTGTAGCTACAGTGAACAGTGAGGTCACAAATCAGTCAAGAGCACAGCTGATGTTTGTCTGTTTTTTTTATTTTGTTCATAGTACACAATCAAAGTGCATTATAATAATTCATTAATGCAGGAATGGGGGAAGACAATTTCCTGTCAGGTGGTTTGTCTGGACCGGAGGAGTCCACCCAGGGGGGCACGCAGGAGTCATCGGGCCGGTTGTATCCGCCATGCGGGTTTGACAACAGGCCGTCACTATCCTGGGAATGGACCCACTGGGGTCCAGCCAAACACCAGTCAGGATGGTTCAAGAAGATACGTGGGAGAAAGATGGCCAAGGCATTCTGGCAGAGGTTACAGGTATTTATGCAGATCCTTCTCCACCACCTGTCACATGGGAGAAAAGCAATGAGCTGAACTGTACAGCATCAATCTTAAATATTCCCTGCAGTTGGTCTCCAGCCTTAGTCTTCCCCCGTCCTTTTGCATTCCAGTCATTGCTAATAAACAGCCAGAAGCCAATTTTGATCAGCACACAAGTTTGGCACAGACTGATCAGTAAGTCACAAGACAGAATGTTACACTGAAAAGAGCATTAGAAATATTAAACACAAAATGAGTGGATTGAACTAATAATATATAAATGAAGAGCTACTTCAAATAATTATAAAGACTATGCTACAACCAAACACAGGAAGAAGCCAATTCCAAACACATAATTTAGAATAAGCAATAAGGTCAGGCTTTGTGCAATATACTACCTATCCATCTTCTGAAACCACTTGCAAGGGGTCTGGAGCCTATAGGTATGAGGCAGGGAACAACCCAGGATGGGGCGCCAACCCATCGCAGGGCAGGGAACAACCCAGGATGGAG